AGTGGTCTTCTGTGGTCATATGGAAATGACTTAACTTGACCAAAAGCTGGACTTGGTATACATGCCCTCTTCCTCCCCCCCGCCCCCGCAAAAAAAAAATCCCCCAAACAAGAAAACACAATTCAAGAATTCTCAGCTCCCACCCTTAGATATTCATCAACAAAACCGATTGACTATCACCAGCAGTCTAAACACTCAAGGCTTTCTTTTTTTTTTTTTGGTCGGTCGTGGGGCTTGAACTCTGGGCCTGGGCGCTGTCCTTCAGCTCAAGGCGAGCACTCTACCACTTGAGCTACAGCGCCACTTCCAACACTCAAGGCTTTCTAAGCCTGATCATGTGCAAGTGGTCAAGCACCCCTTCCCACTAATTTTCATCCTCTTAATATTTAACCACTGCTACTTCATTACATGAAAGAAAAGCTGACAAAAGCCTTTGGCCAATGAAGTAAAATAAAAAAAGTTGAACTTATTTCCACTTCTGCTTTGTTAATAATTAGAATGGGTGGGGCTAGGAGGCAAGAAGAGTGGAGTAACATGCACGGACTCAGCAACGTGACATGTTCTCAAGCAGTGCTGAGGAACCAGCCAGGGCTCACTCTGCCCAAAGCGTGGAGTTCTAGGACCTACCCCAAGACATCACAGAGTAAGTACAATGTGATCGGATTGTTTATCAGAAGGGAAAATGTCAGAGTTAACTACACCTGACAATATATATGCTTAATTTAACTTCACACAAAACACATTTTGACACCAATGACAAAAATGGAGATTTTTTACTTTGCTCTCTAAATGCAAATACATGATTATGAAGAGGAGAGAAATGAAGAGACAATAAGTAAAAAACAAGGTAATTTAAAATGGCACTAGGCAAGACACATGCTTGTCTCTGTTCTCAGTGCTTGGGTAGAGTGCATGACCTGAGCTGGATTACTGACCTCTCACTACATCTGTGGTGCAGGGCCCAGTGATGGGCATGCAAAGAGAGCATTCAACTTCCATCCTGCTGTTCAAGACTGCTCTGAGTGTAGGCTGTGGCAGGGCCAGCGCTCTGCCATCTCTCAGTACTTGATCCAGGACGCTCACCATATTTGTGAGGCACACGATGATAGGCTAAAGGCAGTGGGCAGAGGACCAGTTTCCCAGGTAACAATCAAAATCGGTTGGGATGGTTTGTTGGGCTTCATTTATCTACTGCTGACGCTTTTTATCAACTGTCATTTCATTTACCGAAGAAGAAGAATTGCTCTTTCCCAACAAATCCTGGGAAAGCAACACAAGAAAGAACCCCCAAACACCCTGACTTCACCTCATCCTAGCTACCAGCTGGGATGTGTTTGTTTTGAAGAGACTCAAAGTACCAATCTGGGACACAGGCAAGATACAGTGGGAGGAAATGGGACAAAATCAAGTGTGTGTGTGTGTGTGTGTGCGTGTGCGCGCGCGCGTGTGTGTGTTGGGGCTAGTGATGGGGATGAGAGGAGGGAGGAGTAGGAAAAAAAATGCTACACATTAACAATAAAGAGAAATTTCAAACCAGTACTCATGAAGCAACAGTTGGAGAACCATGCGACACCCTAATGTGTGACTTCACAGGTATGTATATACCCAAACCAAAGGAAAGGAGATAGGTATTATCTCAGCATCCAGTGCATAATGAGCAAGATTTAAACAGAAGGAGTAGAGATGGGAAAAGATGGAAGTACATGAGCCTAATTATTTCCTAAAAGAAGATCTATCTGCATTTAAAGTAAACAGAAGTTAAAAAACAACAACACAAAAAAAGTATCAACCTTTTAACCAACTCTAAAGTGCAGTTTATTATCTATGACCAAATTCATACAAACACATAGATGGCATAGGTTAAAAACCTTAATATACCTAATAGTTCCTAGACAACAAAGATATGGATCTTAGGGAAAGATTAATTGAAAAAGAGAGGAAGGGACCATATCTAAATAAGCTAAATAAAAGGAAATAGAAAGCAGTAATTATTTAGAATAAGTCTTTTTTTTTTTGAGACAGTGTCTCACTATGTACCAAGGTTAGATTCAAATTTCTTGCCAGAGTCTTTCAATTGCTAGGATTGCAAGTGTGTGCCACCATACGAGACAGCCTGTCATGATTTTAAAAGAAACCTCAAATCTCACTAATACAGAATCATACCAAATTCAGTAAGTTTCTAGCAAAACCTTTAGGTTTGAGGCCTGGGAATATAAGGTCACTGGCAGAGGGTTTGCCTGGGGTTCATCGGCAGTACTGTAAACCATCAACCAACCATCTAATCAGCCAATCAACCAACCAAAAAAATAGCTGAATAACCCTAAACTTAGCTGGGGAAAGAGAGAGAGGAGGCAACAGTGAAACTAGCTATGAACAGTGCAGTGAGGGCAAATGTGGGCCCTGAGCATGAGCCCTGCTAACAAGTTTATAACACTCACATGATGCTTTCACCAACATTTGAGAGAGCTGATGAACACACACACACACACACACACACACACACACACACATTTGAGAGAGCTGATTTACACACACACACACACACACACACACACACACACACACACACACACACACCCGTGCTGGCAATTGAACCCAGGTCCTTGCTCATGCTCTGAAAGTGTCCTATCACTGAGCTATATTCACAACCTTCAGGTTTTTGATAGGGTCTTGCTATTTATCCCATGTTGGCCTTGAACGCATGATCCTTCTGCCTTAGCCTCCTGAGTGCTGGCATGTACTATCATGCCAAAATGAAAGCACTTTTGATCAAATGGAACGTAATGATACAAAAGCCTTTGCCTTCTCTTCTGTGCCCATACCTGTAGTTCCTAGGAAGGGGAATTCCACTTAATTTTAGCTTCCCCAAGCCACAACTGAACACTAGTATTTGATCAATTAAATCTGCTGGGTTACCAAGGTCATGTGTCCTAAGTGAATTCTATTGTGAGACTCTGTGTGCTATAGTCCACTAAAGTCCAATCAATAAAAACAGATGCTTAGAAATCTCTATTTGGAATGATAAAGATACTTTCAACTACCATTCCAGGGTTTTAAGTTAAAAAAAAATAAAATGTCTTTAGGCCTCCAAAAATTTGTGGTGCAGGTATTAATTTATGTCTTTCTGACCCAGTTCACAAGGGAAGTAGGAGCTGTCCTTTGTGGAATATAGTATTTTATGTATAACTTTGCAGCACTTAGATAGGTAACACCTCAAAAGCCATCTGACTACCAAGTATTGCTTTCAAAATTCTAGAGTAAGGAGCAGTCTTAGTATTGATGCTATTAAGCCCAGGAAATCCAGGTTTTACCGCTACCCTTATTAAGACAAAGAAATATGTTTCAAAGAAAGGTAACATTAAAATGCCTTAAGCAAAATACATTATAACTACAGCTATATTTAAATTATGAAAGAATCTTAGAAATGTAACATTGGGTTTAGAAAAAAAGGAAAGATATAGCACAGCACATAGAGTGTGACTAGGAAAGTATCTCCTAATTTTTTTTTGTTTTTGTCAGTCATGGGGCTTGAACTCTAGGCCTGGGCACTATCCCTGAGCTCTTCATTTCAAGGCGAGCGCTCTACCACTTGAGCCACAGCGCCACTTCCGGTTTTCTGGTGGTTAATTGGAGGTAAGAGTCTCACAAAGTTTCCTGATGGGGTGCCTTCGAACCATGAGCCTCAGATCTCAACCTCCAGAGTAGATAGGATTACAGGCGTGAGCCACTGGCAGTATTTCCTAATTTATCCAGGCCCTTCCTAGTTTATGTGTGTTGTCATACTATAATGAACAGTAGCTTGTCTTGACATGGGAATAATATTAGTCATCTGAAATAGGGTAAATAAATGACATATACTCTACAAATATTTGTGAAGCAATTCTAAAACGATCACCCAAAAAGTCACAAAAAAATATAGACTGGGGGTAGAAATAGGTCTTGGGATAAGGAAGAAACATATATGTGATACAAAAGCATACAATTCTTAAAAATGGATGGTGGGTCAATGAATTATTTGATAGTTAATGCTTTCTATTTAGCACACTGTATATGTTCACATATAATGCTTCAGGATATATTATAAATAGTCGATCATCAACATTTTATAAAAATATAAAGGGGTAAAGTGTAAAAAGAGGTAAAAATACTACCTATGCTTGAGAGGAAAAAACAAATAATAAAAAAATGAATTAGCAACTCAATATCTATTCAGATACGGTGTTAGGAAGTGGTTTTTGACAGTCACCTATACCACGTTAGCAAAAGTTGCAGAAAAATTTACAGATAAGGAGCTGGAAGGTCGGCTCAGTGGTAAAGCGGCTTCTTAGCAAGGGCCAGGCCAAATCCAACCCCAGTACTACAAAAATCAATAAAACAAAAACAACACATTTCATAGTTTAGTGGTATAGTAAGACCAGTTATTTGTTGGGTCTGAATGGATGACATTAGGTATGAGGATGACATTTTTTTTTTTAAGGAAGAAGTAACAGGAAGATGTATGACAAAAGTAAACCCTGAAACCAGAGTTAGCTACACTGTGAACTCCACGGAGCAGAAAGGGCCGTGAGCTTAGGCCTGAATGTGTTCAGGAGTCAGTCAGTATGACTGGAATCAGACACAGACAAGCGTAACTTATATACAAGTTTTAGAAAGCAAATGCTACTGTAAATATTGACTAGAACCATAAAGCAAATTCAATACCAGTCAACAATCTCAATTGAGTGCACTAATCATCCCAGGATCTCACTGAACAGAATTATTACATGATGTAGCCAGAATAAATCCCTTTTGTTTCTGAACACTGAAAGTATAGTTGGTGGTTATTTTGTTAAATGAGAGGTTGTGCCGTTTGTGGGTTCTCTATGGGGCCCAGATGCCAGTTATTTTGTCCAGTATGCAGTCAGTTCTTTTATAGCAAGTGGCTCCACCACAAAGAAGTGGAATGAGACAGATGAACGTCTTCATAACAGAGGAAGTGTAGTGACTAAGGTAGCGGATACCTGGAATACTTGCAGGAGAAATCGGGCCCGAGCGTGACTGGTTACTTCCTACGGGAGAGCCCACAGGAGAGGGGGACGGGCCTCCCGGGATGCTGGAGAGGTGGGGTGAGGCGTGTGGAGAGAAGGGCGACTGCGCGGGGTTGCTCTGGTCCCCTTGACTACTCGTAGACCCAGAGGCACTGACTGCTGAGCTCAACGTTGCTTCCGTTCCCGTGGGGAGGTCATCGATAGAGCCGGACAGGTCCTGAGGGAAACAAAGAAAAGGCATGCATTCAAAGAGCCATACATATTTGGACCAAAATGAACTCAAACCGTGACTTGAAAACGGTAATTTCAGCCCCCTTTCAGAGTAAGTTTCTGGAATAATGCCAAAGAGTTGCAGTGTGACCCTATTTATTAAACGTTACTACGTTTACTCATGGGGTGAACTTGTAAGATCTGGCATCTCCTGAAGAAAAAAAAAAAAGGAAGTGGCCCCTGTCCTTCATAAAGTCATCCCTGCATGCTTTCTTCCACTGTCAGCACCAAGTCCGTCCAACCTGTCCACAGTGCGGTCCAGCAGCCCTCGGTGGGTGACTGCCTGTCCCACAGGACTTCAGTAAGATAAAGAGCTACAGGCTTTACAACTCGATAATGGGAGTCTCAATTTCAAACTGACAATGTAATCTAACAATAGTAAAAATTTTAACCAAACTTTCTGATGAGAAATGCTTCCATTTAAAATAATTTCAAAGTGCCATTCTATGAAATAATAGTGTTTGTATATTTATGATACACAATCCCTTTGAAGTTATGTTGGCAGAAAGAAGTCTGAATGTTATACCTTTTGCCATCTAACGTGATCACAACACCCTCTAGACCTGTGATTAAAAGCTCCACTTGACAGATCACAAAGCTCAAGCTCAAAGGGAATGCTGAAAGTTACACTACTGAGGGCAGAAAATAGAGGGAAGGTGAAAAAGAGGAGGGGTGAATGGTCTCCTGCCCCTCCCCACTCATCTACAAAGGAGACTACTAGCAACAAATGCTCCCTCACTGAAAGGCCCGCTACAGTAACCTCTAAAAGTGACGGAACAGTATAAAAATGCTTATCTGTTGTTGTTAGAGTAAATACTTTATTTTTAAAATAGATGATCATTACAGAAGACTTGCCAACAACAAAGCAGTTTAGAATCTAATGCATCTTGATCTCTATCATCTCTTTCACTGTTCTCCCCTTTCTCTCCCACCTCCACCCTCCCCCTTTTACTTGTTTTAAGAATTTTGTGAGTGCATACCTCCCTCTTCCTCTCTTCAGTCCTCCACCCCTCCACCGGCCTTCTTGACCTTCCCAGCACCTGTTTCCTGGTGTTTATTTTGTTGGACTGTGAGTTAGCCTTTCTAAGGAATTATGGTGTTTGAGTTCTGCCCTGAATCTATCATATTTTGGCTAAGGCATCTGTGTACACTTGCATAACACCTTGAAGTGTTTACTTATATATTTATAAATTAATTCTAGCTTCCACATAAGAGAAAAAAGGCTTTCTTTGTTCTCTCTGGGCCTCTAATCTAGGACAAAATAGTGCAAAGTGGAAACCGAAGTGCCTGGCTATGCTACTATCTACAGAGCATATTTAGCCCTAAGAGGTACCTTCTACTCATTCAGCTTTACTAAGGATTAACTTTGTTTACTGTGAGATCTTTTGAAACTTGGACTTTCAAAGCTGGTGAAGGAAGATGTTTTGGGTTCTAAGAATAAATCTCGCCCCAAGAGTGTGAACAAGGCAAGGTATAATAAGCTGGTGAGAATGGATGCCAAAAATGTCACAGAGCAACTCTGGATTAGGATCCCAGTCCCTTAGACAGGAAGCAGTCCACTGATATCTGTTCTAACATATGAATAACATTTTTAAAACAAAGAAATTATCTGTGATAAAATATAATTCTAAAATAGAGCCAAAAATCTTAACGTTACAGGAACAATGTCTGTTAAGAAGAACAGGCTTTCTAGAGCCAGGTGCAGTGGGCTCATATCTATAATGCTGGTTACTTGGATGGCAGAGACTAGGAGGATCACAGTTGGAGGCCAACCTGGGCAAAAAGCTAGTAAGATCCAATTTCAATCAACAAAGCTGGTGTAGGCAGTAGTGTATGCCTGTCATCCTACCTATGCAGGAAGCATAAGTGGGTGGGTTAGGGTTCGGGGGAAAATGTAAGACCTGATTCAAAAACTGAAAAAGTAAAAAGGCTAAGAACTTGGCTTAAGTGGTAGAGTGCCTGCTTAGCAAGTTCAATCCACAGCAAACCCCCACTCCCCCCATATGCCTAAGTGAAATAAAGAGTAATCTTTAAATCTAATAATTGTGATTATGAGAAACAAACTAATATTAGCAGGACAGACTGAAAACATCACACCTGGGAAAAGTATAATCAAATCTCTAGAGTAAAATGAGTGAATATGAACCAGGTTTCTCAGAGTTGACAAACACAAACATTCCTTTTCTAGATATATAAGATGCATGGTTTTGTACATACTGAGGTGGTAGCAAGAATTTGTATATAACTTGATTACTCGTTTCAATGGTAGTTCCATTTAGACATCTTAAGCTGAATATAATTTTTGTGAAGTCAAGTGAAAATAAAAGGTTATTAAAGTCTGAAACAAGCACCATGCAGCAGATAAAGTCACACTTTGTAACCAAGACAATCATCAGAGTTCCTCAAAACAGAAGTTAGGCTAACAGATGTGTGTGTGTGCACGTGCACACATGCGTGCGCATGTGTGATGCACACATATCCATGTGCTCAAAGAGTAAATCAAGGCCCTTTCTACTTCCCCTCTCTCCAGGCTAGGGGCTCACTTGTCACATGCATAGGCTCAGAGCTGGATGGGAGTGGGTGGGGAGGGAAGAGGACTTAGATGAGGTCTGTCTCTTCAGTGTCTGTCTCCTGAGCATTTCATCATTGACTCTTGAGCCTGCAGAGGGATGCACCTGAAAAGCTCTTTAAAGCAGGGCAAGACCATCCATGGCCTGCAGGCTAAACTTTCCCCGCCCCCACACTGGCAGTATGGGGGTTGGAACTCAAGGCCTCACACCTGCTAGGCAGGTGCTTTACCACCGAAGCCAAGCCCATCCTTTTATGCTTTTGTTATTATTTCAAATTGGGCCTCCTGTTTATGCCAGGAAGTGAGTGACCTGTCCTGCAATCCTTCTATTTAACTCTCCAGGTAGCTGGACTTTATGGTTCCAGGTAGTCTTGAGAATGTTTTGCTCCAGTTGGTTTCAAATCATGACTCTACTCATCTGCTTCCTGGGTAGCAAGTTAAAAGCCACCATACCCAGTGACATACATACTCTTTGTTTATCTCAGAAGTCACACATTTTTAAACGTTATTTTGTGACCTTCAAAACTTGACCGCCTCTACTGCATCTCATGGAACAAGTCACAGCCATTCCCTAGCACAGTAATGGCTGCTCTGAGCAATGGCGGAGCAGAGACAGAGACCATGCGGCCCAGTAGCTGGGCCATTCACTCTCTGGCCCTGACAAGAAAACATTGCTGACCCTGACTGAATGAACCATGCATGCCGGTGTCTCCCTTGTTACTTCTGCCTCTTTGCTGGGGAAACTCTGAACCTAGAAAGACTTCACTGGAACCGCACCAACACCTCACCACATATGGTGATTGGTACAAACTTTACCAAGAACAGGAACTGAGCCCATTACTATAACTGCATGAAAGTATGGAGTGAGAGCCAGTCAGATGTAGATCTACTTTATCGGGAATGAACCTCCTGTGAGGATGGAGAGTACCCCAATTAGCTAGATGCTCTCAAAAAGTCTAAGCAGTGGGAATATGAGGAAAGAGGGCCAGGCAACCAAAAATAAATTTGGTTGATAGCTAGATAACATAACCATTTTCTATTACATTAACTAAGAAATTAAATATAGATAAAACAATACATGTTCAGTTTTTAAGAAACTTCAATTTAAAATAAGTTTATGCAAGTCTTTCTTCACATAAAACAAAATGTTACTTTGAAAATTTTCTAATTGTATGATTTACATATTCCTTCCCCATACTCCCATAAAACTCTACGTGATGGTTGAAAAAATAACATAGATGGGTGTTAGGAGAGCCTCATCCAAGGTGTAAAGGTATCAAAAAACATTTCTGTTATTCAACAAGCTGAGCAAGAAGAAACTATCAAGAGGAAAATATAAAAATGGTGGCTTTCTTCGCGTTCACAAGTCATCAGAATTTCAGCGCTGACTAGACCTTAGTGTAACAGAAGAGTAATAAAAAGATATAATTTTTATATTACTTTTATATACACGTAACTTTTATATGTAAATTATATGGAAATATTTCTGCCCTGCAGATACTTGGGGTATCCAGGAGTAGAGCTATCTTAAAGCATGCTAATAAAAGAAGGTCAACAGTGGTTTAAGCATTCAGCCTAGTTAACAAAGAAGCCCTGTGACTAATACTCCCCTGGAGGACAGTTTAGTCAGCAGGGCACCAGGTCTCTTCTTCTTTTGTAAGTACTATCAGATCTATGATGCTTGTAAAGAACAGAGAGGCGTCCCTGCATCTCATTCCAGCCAGGCACCTTGAAGCCACAGTGTCTCCATTTATCTTACAGGGAAGCTGGCAGGGAGGAAGGGCAGCCAGGACTCTTGGGGTGGCAGCCTCGTGTGCCACACCATTCTTCAAGGCAGCGACGTCATGGGCTCGTGCACAGTAACCGTTTTGTTTTCATGCTTTGATTTGGTGAAAAGCTGCTTGCCACACTGGAGTTTCTATATCTGCCGCCACTCAGAATACCAAGTGACTTCCATTATTGCAGACTTACTTTTTTTTTTAATCACCATCTCAAAAACAAACAAACAAACAAACAACACCCCCAACAAAACTATTTTATTCTAAAATCTATTTTATCTTCATAAGGACTTTCCCTCTGCAACTCTTACCCTTTTATCCCTCTGTCCCTCTAACTCAAGGGGCAAGTAAAAAGTCTTAACTGGGTACAGAATGGCATGCAACCTGAGAGCATCAGGTACAGGGAAGAGAAACGTCAGTGTTGGTGGTCCCAGTGGGGAGGGGGGGGGCAGGGCCGGGGCAGAGGAGGAATGTCCCACAAAGAAGCAGGCAGCAAGAATGAAGATTGGCATGCAAATATAAATATGCTCTCACCTAGATGCTGCGTCTGAACTTTCCTGGAGATATTTTACATTAAATACACTATGACCACTACATCAA